TTATGCTGGACGAGGTAGGCCACTAGATTTATAAACTTTAGATAGATGTTAGTGGTTAGGAAACAGTATCATGAGAAAGGAAATTTATCGAAAAAGAGAAGTATAGAAATGCCATAGGAGTTTATTTGTGATTTTTATGAGTCTCAGCTCTGAGCAAATGATAAAATTGATTACTGACGATGTCGACTGCCGTGCCAACAAAATGTAAGAATATGCGCAATCAACGATCCGAACATATAAGAAAATAGGACATTATGGCAGAGCAAGCAGTAGTGTAAACTTTCCAAGCGCGCGAGCCAGCTACCAAAACGATATATATATATATATATATATATATATATGTATATATGTATTTATTTTATCGTTTTATGCGTTATAAAAAGCAATTTACTGACTTAATCAAGTTTATTATGAATTTATAGGTTAAATTATCACAATTGGTATAATAAAAAGCAAATAATTAAAAGGTTATTCAACCCGATGAAGGAGGAGGGGGGTCGTGCCCTCTCGGAGCATTAGACCATTCTGCTGTCGCCCTGCATGTCATCGCGCCATTTACTGGAGCATAATTAAATGGTTTATCTGATCGGATGGAGCGTGCGCCTCTCCTGTCAAGGATACTATTCAGTTCGATGGACGAACCTACTCCAGATTTTATATCAGCTTTTTGAACCAACTTATCATCATCACCTTGTGCACTAGAGACCCGCAAATCCCTTGTTTCTTCTATATTGTTTTGGAAACTTTTCCCCCTTCTCTCAGCTGTTGATTTTATACGTTCCTCCTCGGAAGAAACGAGACCATCGTTTAACAATTTATCTTTTCGAGTAACACATGTCCGTTGATGGCGAAGTGATCGCTGGTTAGTAGCAGATTGCACTATTGTCGAGGACTCAGTGGATGGACAAGCCACTGGAATTACTGATCTGCTGGTCCTTCCACTCAAAAGAGACATGCGGGTATATCGAGTTGCTGCGAGCTCATAATGGACTGATGAATTAGAACGAGAAGAACGGAGAAAATGAGGAGTTGAGGATGTTTGTGTGGTAGCGATGTTATAAGATGCAGAATATTTTGAGTCTAAAAGTGTGGATATGGTCGCACTGACGGTGGTCTCGTTAAGAGACGATGAAGAAGGGCGGGGATCATGGATATCGGCATTGTGCTGTCTGAGAGATTTAACTTTTTTCGGTGAATGAGAGAAGGCATGTTGAGGGCGCCGAATAGAAGACAATGCAGAGAGTCTCGGCGGATTAGAGGTCCCGATAGTGGAGGACATAGCAGATTCCTATAATAAAGTATGAGGAAATAAGCAAACTGAGAAAATAGTAATACCAAGGTATACGAAACAAGTGTAGTCTCGAAACCCTGCTTACAAATGAGATATAAGAAACAAGTGGGGACGTATATATGAAGGCATTTTAAGTATATGAAAAATGAAAGGTCATCACGTTTGTTAGCCAAAAAAGTTAAATAAATCTCCGATAGAAATGGAGGTAAAGTTAACAAACAGTTGGAGATAAATTAAATGCTTAATGGACTAATATAATAAACAAGTGTCCGCTAAGTAGGGTGGATTATAATTAAATAATACTTTTCGTTTGCATGTTTATTTAGTAAAGGAGAATTGTAGTAAATGATAACACATTTTCGGAAAAACACAAAGCTAGCGGCAATGTGGCTAGATTGAGCTTCAGCAGAGGAAAGAGTATAAAGAAGAATTTTAATAGAAGTAGGATTCTAGTCGTTAAACCAAGTTCAATTTCGAGTAATAGTCCACCAGAAGATGACGGCGGATGCTTCGAGGACAGTTGTTCGTTGGCTCTGGTTGCCGCTGTCCTAGAGGGAATCTCTTGCATTTGTTGTGAAAACACACTAGGCTTGTGTAGGAGAACTGGGTTTCGAAAAAACCCTTCAAAGACTGATACGAGAGTACCTTTCATTTCGTTTAAAGAGGCGAGTGGATGGGATTTGTAAGTTGGTCTCACCAGAAGAGATCTAGGAGTTTCCTTGGAGCTGTGATTGTAGATTTATGCACCGAGGACCGATTCACACAAATCTACAATCACAGTTCCAAGGCAATTCCTATATAGTTTCTGGAGAGAGCAACCTACGGATCGTTTCTACTCAAGTCTTCAAACGAAATGAAAGGTACTCCAACATCAAAATTAAGCTTAAGCTTGTCATATGACAGAAATAATCAGAACAAGGTATCATTTTAACTAACCATATATAAGGCTTATCAATAATGCTGTTTATATACCTTAAATCCATGCATTTTGATTAGATATAAAATGACTTTTTGGTTTAAGTCGTAGATGAATGTAAAAGCACGAGCGCATATCTGTTTGTAGGTGCCTATGCGAGTTAATGTGATCATATCTGTAATAAATCTAGAAGTGATAGCTTAAAGTAATTAAAAAGAATGTATGTAAAAACTAGTTTTGAAGAATCCCTTAATAGATTGATGTTGGAGTACCTTCTATTTCGTTTGAAGAGGCGAGTGGAAGGAATTTATAATTACCTTATAACTGTGGTTGTAGAGTTGTGCGAATGGGTCCATGGCGTACCGCCCTGCGACCGCAATGAATCCATGCTGACCTTTCCTCCGTTATGTGACATCATCAGAGCAGGACATCATGGTTAATGATAATTCACCAAAACACGAAATCAAGAAAGGTGGCCGGCTTCAAACATACTTCCTTTTATAGTCAAATTTGGTTCACTTAGGTATATCATGCTTTGGTGGGATGTCCTATGCTTTGCCTATATGTTTGCTCATAAGTTAAGTCAAGTGACTGCTAATGACATGTAAAGTGACTACAGATGAAGCGTAAAATGGGTGCGATTGAAACAGAATAGCTGCATCCTCCCCTAAAATACCTATGCCTTTGACCCTGCAATGTTACCGAATGTGATTACGTCCCATTGAATACGTGTTGTGTGATTGCATTGCCCTTCAAATGAGTGTGATGCGAGAATCAAAA